AAAGATTAATTATCAGCTGGTTGTAGATTCTTCCCAGACCCTGCGAGGGGACTATGGAGGGGCTGGACCCCCAGAGTCCTCGATACCAGAGAGATAAATCAAACAATACCTTTGTGAACAAGACGGATACACCTCCTTGTTTGAGGATGCACACATTCTTACAGGACAAAAGACAATAAAATAATTGACACATTCATTAAGTGCCAAGAAATAATAGGAGAGAAGAGTGGCTGAGAATTTGGCACTTTGGTAACAAAAGACCCATCTCAAGAGTAGGGCTGGCATGAACAAAAGGTACAGGGAGAAACCTGGGGAGAAAAAAGAGTAGCAAATACAAATGGCCTAGGGCAAAAGTCACTTCTATATAATGTGGTGTGATGGGGGGTGGAAGGTGATGTATGAGGTACAATATACACATCTAAGCAGTTTCCATAACTTGACTTAAGACCTTAGGAGAGATGTAGAGAATCAACTACAAAGAAAGTAGTTTTAACTAAGTTACAACAGCCCACATGAAAGGAGATGACAAGGATGGCATGTCTCAGACATAAGTGATCAGGTCCCAGATACACCTTAGAGGAAGAGTTCCCCATGTTCTGTATTTCTCTGGAGAACTGCCTCAGCTTGATCTGTTTCTGCTTGCTGTACTGCCATATAGGGCTAAAGAAGTTTCTACACAGCACATCACTTTTGACTTTAAAATTGAGAAAACCCAATTTCAGAGTTAAAATAGCTCTTAACTTTCCTATCTATGAGTCTAGGACCTATAGCCTGAGAAAAGATTAAACCTCTTATTCCGGAAACAATAAATCACACGGAGGTGATTCCTTTCCACATGTAAATTAGCTATGGCTTACCACTTCTCATGGAAGGTTGAAAAATCCCAACATGAAATTTCTAGTGAAAAAACACATAAAATCAGACAGGCTGAAAGTATTTACACAATTTGATTTGTCAAACTTCAACACAACATGGAACAAAATTAAATTCTCCAAGGGCTAGAACTTTAAGTCTGAAGCAAAGCCAAAACTTGCTTTAGAGTTGAAACTTCAAGACCCAATAACATTTGAGAACAAAAGGAAATTCTCCTTAGTCCTGAAGTGACTTAGTCCTAGGTGACTACAGACTAAATTAATCCATATCAGAGAGGGTATTAGCTCCCTAATACAAGTAATGCATTAACAGATAAGGTCTGTAATGGAAAAAAAAAACTGAACTGTTATTTCTTAACTTTTAACACAGACATAAACTGTTTAAATTAGACACACAGCTATCCATGTGGTCCAAAACATAATTTATTTGGAAAAGTATGGAAATTACAAACCTGAGATAAATCATGGTTCTTTATGAGTAAACAAAACAATGACACCAAATTTTCAGATATTAGAATGCTCATGATGAAATACAGAAAATTGCAGAAGTAATCAGATTATGACATGACACATGATTGTATGCAGAATCTTTCTCAATTTTCTTTAGATAAATGACCCATTCTTTCAGAAAAGCTTAATAACCTCACAAAAATAACTTCACACCCTAAATGGGACTCAGTCATTTACAGGTAATCTACATAGCTTACTTTTTGTCTGACATATCTGAATGTTAGGATGCTGAACTTCCTAATTCTTTATAGAGGCTAGAACAGAAAATAACCTAAATCCTTGACAGTATGTTTTCTCAATGATGGGGATGGAACTCTGGTGCCTCACACATCCTAAGAAAGCGCTCTACCAGTGTAAGCTGAAACCCTTGATGAGAATTTAAGAATCTCCTCACTGCAAACTGTCCTTTCATTCACATATAATTCCGAAATCCTTAAACTGCAGTGATACCGAAAAACCACTAGAGTGCGACACAGTGCATGTGCTTTACAAAGCTCTTTGGGTAAAAACTTGTAAAACTATTTTTTAAATTTTTGTCATTGGTGCATTTGACATAAAACGTTATATTTCCAATATTACATGTTCTCCATTAATTATAAGCTGGGCACACAGTAAAGAACTGACTTATCAGATAATGGCTTCTTTGCTATACTTTACAGAATGACTTGGCATGCCCCCTCTTACACAGACACACACACACAGGCACACACACGCACGCACGACACACGTACCCAGCAATTATTTACAAGTCTTTCCACTTATCATTAAGAAAATGGTGTAAGTGCCTCTTTTACCTCCAGCTTCTGAAATAAAAGAGGCACTTGTAAAGGGGGTCATGGAACAGACAAATGAAAACTTCAAAACTAGTATCACATTTTCAAAGTGGGAAAAAACAATAGAACTCCAGTGACACAAAACCATTACAGGAGCTGAAGGAAACTAATTCACTATACATATTTATTTTGTATTTCAAAAAAACGAGTTAACGATGCAAAAAAACGGGAGATCGGAATTCTCAACCTTGTTCTCTCCACGCTGACTTCCCACACAAAGTAACTTCTAAAATTGACAGCGCTATAGAGCCCGACGTTATTCCAGCTTTATCATTTAAATATCCTTATTCTCCAAGGCAGCTGTGCACCTACTCTGCAGTGAGAATTGAAGCACAGGAGACATAAAGTGGTCCTAAAATGAGTAGAGAAGGGCTGCAAGCTGGATAGGCAAACACCTAAGTAACGCCCGACTCCGGGTCTCCCAGAAAGCCTAGCTATCCGGGCGCCGCCTGTCCCGCCTCTCGCGCTGCGTTAAGGATACCCACGGCCAACACCTTGCCCTCCAGCGACTCGGGGCTGACCCGGCGGCCGGAGCACTCCAGCAGCTTCCACAGCCCCTGGACTCCCATGGCGCAGGCGCGCTGGGCTGGCCTCGCAGGCCCCTTGCTTCAAGTTAGACAAGGACGCGCCAGCCGCAAGCAAACCGTGCTGTTCCTCTCACGCAGAGCCCACCTCTCCCCAGCCGGAACTCGCCGCGTCGCGGGCCGGAAAAAGATAAACACCGCGCAGAGGCACTTCCGGCGAGGACCTGGCCTTCAAGAAGAAAAGCACAACTTAAACGGAGCGGAGGTGGGAGGAGCAGGGACTCTTCAGCCCAAATGTTGGCACGTTTAAGCGAAGTGAGCAACGGCGCGGGCGACACAAGCAGGCAAACGTCCCTCCTGTTGAGCTTGCTACCTCCCGAGGACCTGTAAACCCACACGAACTGAAACCTCTCGGCTTCCGTCTAAGTGAATGCGAAAGTTGGCAGTACAGCATTGACGCGTGACGTATAAATCCTGCGCCAGAGCACCAAGGATGTCAGTGAAGGGTTACAGCCAAGTGTTAATTCAGTACTTCTGTTCTTTTGTCTGTTAGCCATAAAGATATTTGCACGTTGGCTTTCTTAGTGAAGTGAGATCCCCTTTGTGCGTTTTCAGTTTCAGGTTCAACATTGTCCCTCCAGCTTTGCAGACTTGATGCTAAGTATTGGGTTAGACTAGAAAAGAACAGAAAGATAAATGTTTCCTTGTTTTTAAAGGTAAGTATTTGCACGACAACATGCAGTAACTAGGTGTCAGTACAACGCAGTACTTACCATTGAATTACCCCCAGCACCTGAAACTTCTAATTCCACAGTTTGTGGCCCCAAATGACTTTGGGCAGAGTAGGTTCGGTTCTGTCATCTATAAGCACGATTTTATGAATCAGAGATCATGTGTACAAAGTGCATAGCACTTAGAATACAGTTGCTTACATTTGATGTGCAATATTGAAATTACATTCAAACTCAGTAATAATCTTGGTATGAAAGGACAGATAGCCAGTGTCATAAACATCTGGGAGACAGGTAGGGATATCACAAGTTCAAAACCTACATAGGCCTTGTCTAAGAAAAAAAGGATAGATAGAAGCAGATAATTTCTTACAAGAACCATTTGCAGCAGAAGCCTTATCAGGAATCAGATATGTTAACAAAATATATCTATGTCCAAACAGATGGTTGGTAGTAGCCATATTTCCTTGGCTTGTCTCGGCTTATTTTCCACTGGATTTTTAGTATTTCCTAAATGTGTAAAATTATGGAGTTTTGCATTTTGTATAATTGTATTCTATTGAGGGCAATATAATTGCCTGTTTAGTTTCTATCACCTCCAACAGTAGACTATAAATTTGCTGAAATCAGTATCAATCTTGATAACTTTTACACCTGTTACTTGTAGCACATAGCAGAGTTCATAAATGTTGCCTAAATGACCTCTTGAGTCTCCTGTCTGATGTTCTCCGGGGCATTTTGCATCCTGTGAAAAATATTTCTATTATAGGTCAGGCAGATGTTAGTTCAAATCTTATCTGGACCATAGAATTACCATGTATTCAGGACAGAATTCATGTTGAATTCAAAATTCACATATTGAATACATAATTCCAAGTACTTCAAAATGTGCTTGTATCCAGAGTGATTTTTAGAAAATAATTTTCTTAAACAATGAGGCCATTAAGGGCCAAAAGAGTACAGGAACCAAAACTTAGAAAAACCATTCCTGTGTCTAACACAGCCATGGTTAATGATAGATCACAAACATGCTAACATGTTTGAGTCCATGGATTTGATTCCTTTCTCCCTACAGACACACAGAGACTATCAGTAGCTTCTAATCCAGTGTGACTGCTATCCTTATAAGAGGAAGTCGGAACACAAACTCCAAGAGTGCCACAAACAAAGACCATATGGTACAAAATGGGTGAAAACCTACAAGTCTACAAGACAAGAAATCAAACTTGCCAAGACCCTGTCTTGATCTACAGAACTGTGAGGAAAGAAACTTGTTTTTAAGAAATCCAGTTTCTGGTAATTTGTTATGACAATTCTAGCAAATCCAGATTCTCTATAACCCTAGGGAAGTTTCTTCGCCAGTGAGAGCCTCCTTTTTAACTGGCACATGTCAGTACCACCAGCTTCTTGGGGGTAAATCTGAGTTTTTATATGAAACACCTAATAAGTGATGGCATTAAAATTAGGGGTATTATTATTATTATTACTATTTTATTAAGTGGAAGACTGGCAGAGTAGAAATGCTAAAAATGAAACTGGGTTAAAAAATATTATAGATCTTGGAGCAGTCGCCTGAACTCATCCCATGTCTGGAACAAAGCAATGTGGAAAACAGGAAAAGTTTATTTTTTGCACACTGATCATATGCTCTATAAAAACACTGACACATCACCACTTAAAACTTTAGCTTACACATTTGGAAGTTACATATCTGGAACAAAGCAACGTGGGGATACATTATAGTTGCTACACCAGCTTGATGTGATGGGATATAGCACTGTAACTGGTGTAGTAGTGGACAGAGGAATAGTTACTAGGTTTTAATTTTTGAAAGCTGGATAAGAACAAAGAGCCAGTGTGCCCATTTGAGTATTAGGCATGCTTTGAAAGCCAGAGGAATACATTTTGAATGTGAAATGCTTTTGAAAGAATAGCAACCAAGGAGTGTATATTTGACATAAAAGGTATTTGCTCTTTTCAAGGTCTAATGGGCTCTAACGTACTCAATTAAAACATATTCAAAATAATAATTTTAACACTTAATATAGCTTTCCTATCGTCCAACAACTATTCTAAATACTATACATAGTAGCATATTTGTTCTCAAAAAAAAAAAACTATCAAAGAGTACATAATCTCACAAGTGAGACAATAGCAATTTCAGAGCCAATCATTATCCTTCATTAGACCTATGAAGATTCCTAAGGGTTGACTAAGAAATCAGGGCAGGAATATTATTAGTTTGCAAGGAGAAGCATGAAGGAACTCTTACCTACATACCCTGAAAAAACTCTCCAAACATTACTGTGCTCTAAGTAACTTCCAAATGCGTAAGCTGAAGTTTTAAGTGGCTATGTGTCAGTGTTTTTATAAAGCATATAATCAGTGTGCAAGAAATAAACTTTTCCTGTTTTCCAGTTCTCACTTTGTTCCTAAGGTTTATATTTTATTTTTCATTTGTATCCTTTCCTCTAGGTTCTTCAAATCCATTTCTTTGAAATACTCAACTGAACTATTTAAAAAAAAAAAGCTTATATTGAAAACACTTGATCCACAAAAATTGCAACCTCATGTTGTTAAAACTAATATGAGAAATTTTCTATTCCATTGTGAAGTAGAGAAATAGTACCCAGGAACTTAAGAAATAGCAAGTATGGAACAGTCATCACCTTCTACGCTGTTTCACTTACTATAAAAAATTGCAAGATGTTTCTTATACTACTAGTTACATGGAATTGACAAATTATCATATGCTTCACACAGATACAAGGATATGGCCCAACTAAAACACAGACTCATTAACACTCACATAATTAAAAGTAGAAAACAAAACTTTATTTGATGAAAACATTTTAAAAGTTCCAGTATGAAGTAACAAAACCAATAACCTACAAATCTTTCAGTCCTTTGCATTTCAAGCTAAATAATCTCTTCAGAAATATGACCATTTTGTAATATATATCCCTTTCTGTAGGCTAGACATGTATGAGTGGGTAAATGGATATAAAATTCAAGAGAAAAAAATGAATTTTTTTGAAAAATAAAAATCTGAAATCTCCCCTTGAGGTGTATTGCAATATGGTTCCAACATACTCAGCACCTTGTAGTCACCAAGTTACTGATTTGAGTCCTGGAATGAGCCTATTACATGAAGAAACAAGATCTTAGAAATCTGTGAGTCATACATTGGCAGCAAAAGAAAAATGACAGCAGCTAAAGAGAAGCTCAGGTATTGAATTCACACTTCTGAAATATTTAACACACTAAAAAATCAAATGAATTGTTTGGATGTTTCACAAAAGAGACAGCTCAGAGTTGAGAATACAGAGTGTTGTTCTCAGAGTGAGCTGGACATTGCCAGTGTGTCTTCAGTGCTGTTGTTAACACATGACTCCATTAAGAGACCAAATATCAGATCTTACTGCACATATTACATGGATATAGAAACTCTGGATTCCAAGTACTCTTTTGCTATATCTCTAAAACAAGGTTTGTTCTAGGCCTGAAGACATCATTCAAGACCTATGCTTCTTGTAACTATTTCACAGTCATGTGCCAGATCAAGAGTATCGAATCAATGTCATACATAACTTGTGTATGACATTGTCTGCACCTGGAGAAAGGCCAGTTTCTTGAGTATTTTTCTGTTTCTTTGTTGAGGATCCTGAGACAGTTATTCAGGAAAGCTAAGAGGTGAGGTGGACACTGCTAGCATTGAAAGAACAATTAGACTGGAAAGATAATTTTAAATGAGCTTTAGCATGAACAAAAGCTAGAACTTAACAGCCCCCATTTTTTAAGGGCAGACAGTGCCTTGTAAATTGGTCTTAGAAATATCTGTAATAAATGACTAGGGATCAAGTTTCAAGAAATGACTTCATGCTTTAGTAGTTCAAGTTTTGATGCTGTTAAATACATTTCTATTTTTGTTTTGAAGCAGTTGTGATTTTATTGGTTTTTGTGAAACCCCTTGTCCAGATTGCTTATCTACTTTTAACTTTAAAAGGGCAGTAATCTGTGTTTATCTGCCTATATATTTGAAGCCACCTGTTGTAACACTATGTTAGTTTATTTACTGGAGAACTACAGGTTATGCTTTGTACCACAAGATCTGTTCCTATTGATAGACTTAATAAAACCAGCTTCTGCCTTAATGCAGTCCTGTACATAACAGCTGTATGGGTGATACCAGTGGTTCAGTTCTTGGCATGGTCAGTCATTGCCATTGTAATCACTGTAGCTGTGGTAGCCACTGTTCCTTCTCTCATGGATGCTAGACATCTTCTTCCATGCTGAGTCCTGGTGGAAACTAGCACTAAAGGACCTTCCTAGACGTCCATGCTGCTTCTTGGAGATATTGTCTTCACTCTCAGATTTGGCAATTCCCTGGGCATGTGTGGGAGGCTGTGATTCTTGTCTAATGGTTCCAAATGGAAAGCTCCAAAAGCCAAATCTTTGCCAACTGAGTCTCTGGAATGCTATGATGCAATGCAAATTTCCTCCAACCTGAGAAGGACAAAAAAGATGAAGACAATAGAGAGAAAATATGTATAAGTCTGTGGGGTCCTTATTGACTCCCTTAGAGTAAGGCTGTTATTCTTTCACATGTCTGAAAACACTTCTATTCTGCACTCATCAGAACACACTAACATACTCACTTTTCCTGACAGCTGCCTTTACAATATAACAAACTCCTTAGGGACCAGAGCACTCCTCTCCACAGCCTAGACTCAGCATAGTCATGGCCTCATATACCTAACTCATACACTTAAGATCATGCCTTATTCTTTTCTCTATGTGTGGTCTTTTTCCTTTCCTTCCCTCCTCTCCTCTCCTAAAAACTCATCCTGTTCCCTCCCCTACATATGTGTGTGTGTGTACACAAAGATTTTTGAGTCATAATATCTATAGCTCAGGCTGGCGTGGAAATCATTATCCTCCTATCTAAGAACTGAGATTACATGCATGTGCCACCACACCCAGCTGCATTTATTCTTTTATCAACAGGTTTATAGAAAAAGGATGCCTACTTCTTTCTGCAGTCATGTTTGTACACATGGCTCTGCCTTGTGACAATAATTTATCCAAGTTGGGCCAAGACTATCAAACTCAACCAAGACAGTTAAGTCTCAAGCTAGAACTGAAAATAAGTCATAAGTTGAAAGTCTGCTAGAAGTGCATATTCAAATAAAGCATTGTGAGCACAACATAGCCTACATAAGAATGACTGATAGATATTCTGAGCCACTTGGCTTCTACCATTACTACAGAACTAAGTGTTATTTCCCATGACTGTCCTCCTGGGCCTTAAAATAAGTCTTACTTTTCAAACTAATTCACATAGTTTGAACTTGGTTTCTGTTATTTACCACTTTAAGAGTATTAATAAAATACTGCATTTTGGTCATTTGGGAAGTGGCTTCCAGTGTAGCGGTGTTCTTACCTTCTTTGTTTTCCGGAACTGCAGCCCTCTCTCTAGATGTCGGATATCTAAGAATTCTGGATTTTGAGTGTTTAGATCAGTGACAATATCTGCCCATCTATAGTAAGAAAAGGAACAGTTTTCTTTAGGCCCAAAGTACCATTGTAATAAAGCTTTTTCCAAAAGCAAGTTACCATAATATACCACAGCAGTAATTGGTGATTATTCTCTTAGGTCAGCATTGTTCCACCTACTAGCCTTTAAAAGCTTCTTTTTTTGTGACAGTTGTGGTTATCCAATTCCTGTCAATGTTCTCAGTTTATAATTGGTTTCTATTCTTATATGTCAACATACCAGATAATATCTTGTAGGCTAAAGCAGTGGCATGCCACACTTTCTATTATAATAAAGTCAGTTTATTTTCTTATGGTGGGACATGGGTGGGATATGTTGTATAAGCTGGCCTTGAACCCTTTGATTCACACGATCCTTTTGCCTCATTTACTAATGTGCCACTGTGTGTCTAGCTCAATTTCTGAAAGAATTAAAAAATAACATGTCTCTACTAAAATACAAAATGGTTGTAAAGAAAAATCAAAGAAAGTTATACAAATAATAAGTGAATTTGTTAAAAACATGAAAATCAAGGACTAAATAGGAAATTGGGGTTTTTTTTTATATGACCAGCAGTAACTTAAAAAATGAAAATTTTAAATCAATTTATAATAGGAAGGACAACTTAAAGGACATGTGTGAGTTTATATTGAAAAATCAAAACCACTGCTAAAGGAAATTAAAGTTCTGATTATGTAGTGATACAGTCCTTGATGTTAGTTTATAAGATTCCATGCCATTATGATGTCAACTCTCCCTAAACTAAACCATGAATTCTAGAGATTCTGTCAGTCTATATGTAGAGGGCGTCATGGGAAGAAAAAAGAGAGAGGGAAGAGGAGGGGCAATGTGGGCAGGCACATGGCATGTACATGCTCTAGTGGATGTATGGAGTTTGGAAAATGACTATCAGTAGTTGGTTCTCTCCTTCCACCCTGTGGATTCCAGGGATCAAACTCAGATCATCAGGTCTGCATACAAGCACCTATACCCACCAGTCCTAAAGATTTTATTTTATCAAATATGCATCAGGATTTTTAGCAGAAATGATCCAATTCTAAATTTTTTATTTTATTATTATTATTATTATTATTTTGGTTTTTTGAGACAGGGTTTCTCTGTGTAGCTTTGCACCTTTTCTGGAACTCACTCTGTAGCCCAGGCTGGCCCCAAACTCGTGGAGATCAGCCTGGCTCTGCCTCCTGAGTGCTGGGATTAAAGGCGTGCACCACCGTCACCACCACCCCCTGGCCCAATTCTAAATTTTTTAGAGAAAAATTTTTGATGTTGTTCAAGACAGAGTTTCTCTGTGTAGCTCTGGCTATCCTAGAACTCTCTCTGTAGACCAGATTGGCTTTGCTTCTGCTAGGATTAAAGGAATGCACTATCATGGCCAGTTAGAAAAAAATTCTTAATATGTTACTTAAATGGAAAAGCAAGACAAAAAAAGGATAGAATTTCATTTGCATAAAATTCCCAAATAAGAAAAGTACATCTATGGTGATGGGAAGCAGAACTGGGTGGCTGTGGGGCTAGAGAGAAATAAAACATAGCAGAAATTTTTGTGGCAGGGTTGCACTGTGACTGGCTAATGACCACACAGATGTGCACATGTATCTACATGCATCTAGTTACACAATTTTGATCTGGGCTTTCAGTGAAGGAAATAAAAGCTACTAAAACATACCTTTTACAGTGAATGGCAGGATGTTTTCTACTTGACTCTCCAATTAAAATCCAATATTCCACTTCCTGTGGTGAGAGAGGACCCCTGCTAAACAGAAATATACATTCACAGTCAGCTTGATAAATGGCATTCACTCCCCAAAGTATGCTGATCCAATTATGTATTGGTAAAAAACAAACAAACAAAAACCCCAAAACATTAAAACTCAAAAATGGCTTTTGTTATTTTAGAATGAATACCAGCATTTTGGTTTGGGCCATTCAAGAAATCCTTGAATTAGATTTAAGCCTTAGTTAACTTCCATATTCAAAATCGGGGGTTAAAAGTGTTTTTGCATATTACCCCCTTGGCCCAGAAAGGAAGAACATCCTAAGCTGCTCTCTTCAGCTACTCCTTTTTTCAGGATGCATCTAAGTTTGTAGCAGCATCCTAAAAATATAGTCCTAAAGTGATCATGGCCTGGAGGTAGAAGCTGATGATTTTGAACAATGTTCCAGTCCCACCCCTGGAAATTCTAATTCAAGTTTGAAAAGGAGCCTGGAAATTTGCATAATTTTTAAGACAAAAAATTAATGTGGGTCATAGGAACAAGCATTGATTTATGAAGAACTCCAGCTATCTTATTTTTCAAGACAGGGTTTCTCTATGTGGTTTTGGTGCCTGTCCTGGATCTCCCTCTGTAGACCAGGCTGACCTCCAACTCACAGAGATCTGCCTGGCTCTGCCTTCCCCGGTGCTAGGATTAAAGGCGTGTGCCACCACCACTCTGCAGAATTCCAGCTATTAACAGAACAAATCAGTAAAAGTAAAAGCCTGTTTTACATTTGGTAGGTACCTGAAGGAAGGTAAAGGCATAGGTTGGAATCATGAAAGAAGTGCAGCAGCCAAGCTGTTCACTTGGCTCAGGTTCCCTGATGCGCCACATCCAAGGACCTTTGAGTGGGACATTTGGGACCCATGGCCTCTAGAACAAAAAACCCTCCTATCCTAAAGACCAAGCCACATTCTCTAGCCAGACTCTGGGCCCTCACAGAAGAGGGTAACGTCCAAGGTCCACCTCATCTCTTCCTCCTCCTCAGTCAGCAAGCCCACAAAGCCAAGTGTGAATCAGTGGGGCGAGACAGTCATACATGGCTTCCATTTTCACCTGCTCTTACCCATAACCTCTGCTTTCTGGTCGGTCCCTCATGAAGGAGCTTGCTAAGAAGAAAGAGTAACATTCAAACTCAGCACCCTTGTTTAGACTATATCTCCTTCAAAGAGACAGAAGTGTGTGTGTGTGTGTGTGTGTGTGTGTGTGTGTGTGTGTGTGTGTGTGTGTGTATGAAAACATGTTCATGAAACAGAAACCAGATTAAGAAAAGGGAGAGGCAAATATAACCATGAAGTTTAGATATGAAACTGGTCCTAACCTTCCTTGTGACAAAAGAGACAAACCCTGACAAATTCCATGTTCTTCACATTGAGTACAGAAGGTGCTTTTTAATGTACTCAGTTGTGTACTCTTGGTATAGGGCATGTAGGACAATGGTGAGGATACTGGGAATTGTTGTTTTTAAACAAAATCTCAATTATTTGATTTTTTTTTTCAATAAAGACTGGGGAGCCAGATGGTGGGGTCAAAGACTGCCAGCTCAGAGAGGCAGAGAAAACACTCAACTGACCTTCCTCCTGACCCATTGTTCCAGAAGCATCTCCTCTCCAACAAATCTCCAACTCATTGTCCCTTCTTTCTACTTCCTGTGTGCCAATCCATCCTCCTGAGTCCTTACTCTCTATGGTTTACATCCTGTCAACTGGTTACTTGTTCCGCCTCTTCACCTATGAAATGTTTTTATTTAATCAGAAAGCTCTTGGATTAAAAGTGTGTGCTAGGGCTGAGCCACACCAGAATTAGAAACAGATTTTTCCAGTAAATAATGCAACCTTGGGATTCACAGTGTGATTGAATATCCTGTAACAGGGGATAGCATGTGAATTCCCCTGAACCTCTGTATATAGTCAAAAAAGTGGTACTTCAGATGGCTTTCTCTTATAGTATCTGAGCAACAGCTTCTAAGTGCATTCAGTCCTGTAAAATATATGTACACTCGATGTGAACAAAACATACTACCAAATTCCCAGTTTCTAAGAGACGCGAATCTTTTTTATTCCTGAAAACACCTTGTACAACACATTTTCCTAGTTAAGTGCCCTTATTAAGTATGGAAATGCTTACCTGAATGCCTTACTAGCTTTAACAGGGGTTGCTTCAAAGCCAATTGGACAAAAATAATGATTTTGGCAATGATAGATATAAGCCAGTGATTCATCTTTCAATCCTCGGGTCAACTTTGACAAGGCCCCTGGAGCTACAAAGACAAAACCAGGCAAACTGAGGGCCATAAAGCAATGTCTGTATTTTACACAGAGGACTAGTGTACATAGTTTTGAACACACTGACATTCTGAGTTTCAGTAAGGGGATGAGAAACTACCAATGTGGATAAAAATATAAATGAATTTACTTTTAATTTTAGATAAACTCAGTAGCAAAACAAGTGAAACATGTCCTTGCTTACCAGAACTTTCTAAGAATACACCAAGTTGTTTAAGAAATTCAATAAGTATGTAAAACCCAAAATCATGGTCTCAACTTTTCTGGTGATGGACATCTGCCACTACAAGCTTCTAAATCAGTATGCCTATGCAAAGCACATCTGTCTTTAAACGCTACACATATAAACTAAATCTACAAAAGATTTACAAAAGAAACTTGAAATTAGATTCAATTATAGACATCCTAATGTCTGGATGTAGTGTATATCCCAACTTAAAACTTACTAATACATATAAATACAAACTCCAAGTAAAAACAAGCTACAATAATGGTGTGCAAGCACACACACACACAAATACATATACACACCTGCCACACAATAACACTCACACTTGCCACACAAAAACACACATTATCATTGTGTTGGCTAGTTTCATGTCAATTTGACACAGCTATAGTCATCCAAGTGGAGGGAACTTTGATTTAGGAAATGCCTCCATAAATTTTGGCTGTAGGCAAGCAGGTAGAACATATTTTTTTAAATTAGTGATTGATGTGGGAGGGGTCAGCCCATTGTGGGTGGTGCTAAGTTTGGGCTGTTACTTCTGGGTTCTATTAAAAGGCAGTCTGAGCATTAGGAGCAAGCCAGTAAGCAGCATTCTTCCATGGCCTATACATCAGCATCTGCCTCCAGGTTCCTCCCCTTTTTGAGTTCCTGTCTTGGCTTCCCTCAATGGACTGTGATTCGGACACACCAGCCAAATACTCCCCAAGTTGCTCTGGTCATGGTTTTCATCAGAGCAATAGACACCCTCACTAAGACAATTGTCTTTCTACATACATTACACAGATCAAAGGCATCAGCTTTGCAGTCAGGCTGAAGTTCCAAAACAACTATTTCTCCTGATCTGTTGCCCATCACTGTAATAGCTATCTAGTGATTTCAAAAATATTAGTATAAGAAACAAATTTTTATCAGCACTCAGTACTCAAAGCCATTAACTGGGGTTTCATTAACTTGCATTCCTGGAAGAAATTAAATTATTCATTAACAAATAGCTCATTAAAGCTGAAATCCTGCATAGTATGCTCACAGTGATGGACTTTCTGGGCACTGAATAGCTGCTGACCACCAAGAACTGCCAGTCAGTATCTGCAGGAGCTCCCTGACTGCCTCACATGGGCTAGGAGGGGGGCAGAGCTCTGCCTATGTACATGTTAACATTTCTGGCTTCTATTCTGAAGTTCCATCAAGGCATGCCACATAGACTTTCGCTTCTTGGCAGATCAGGACAGACAAGAAGTCCTCTCTACTAAAATTCCTACTTCACAAAGACTAATAATGATTAGCCATTCTATAGGTTTGAGTTGTATTCAATCACACTTTAAAAACTGACCCACGGGTAGTTTAGATGAAGAATTTTTAAAAATAAATTCAGTGAAGTCTTTCATTTTGTTTCCATAAACAAACATGATTTTACATAGCTTCCAGATAGTGAATTAAGATAAAATGTATAACTTTACTCTTCATATACTCAAGTATTGTAAAAGATGTCTATAATTGCCATTGCTTTAGAAAAATTGAAATTTTTTTTAAATTGTAAAAATGTACAATGAGAAGCTTCCTCGGATAACTGAAACTATTGTTTCAGTTATGAGAGTTGAACTTGAAGCCTTTGGACATGACAGGCAAGCTCTCTACCGCTGAGTAGTGTAGGCTCTGATAATTTGCTGTATTTCTTGAGACAGAGTCTCACTCTGTGTCCCAAGTACTAACCAGGCCAGACAGTGCTTAACTTCTAAGATGAGACAAGAGCAGGCTCATCCAGGGAGATATGGTCATAGACCAGGTCTTACTTTGTAATTCAGGTTAGCCTGAAACATGAAGTCCCAGGCTGGCCTTGTATGCAGAGTAATCCTGTTGCCTCAGAACCTCCTGAGTGCTGGGACAAAAGGCATTGAGACAATATGCCTGAAATCCCAGACATATTCAATAAAAGAGCTTTTGCCAGCAGTGGTGGCATGTGCCTTTAATCTCAGCACTCAGGAGGCAGAGGCAGGTAAATTTCTGTGAGTTTAAGGCTAGCTTGATCTACAAAGCAAGTTCCAGGACAGCCACAGCTACAGAGAGAAACCCTGTCTCAAACAAAACAGAACAAGCGGGGGGGGGGGGGGGGTAAGAACTTTCATTATAAATGTAATACAAAACTTCATTAGTGTTGTTGTAACTACTTTAATGCTCCAGATTATATCTGGGATTCCATGGGCAGAGGAGATGGATAAGAAAGTTTGCTCTCCTTGGCACTCACATCATTTTGTCTGCTGTAAACGCTCTTTTACCATGTCCTAGCTTTCCAGAAGCAATAAGGTGGGTTTTCTTCTGTGGAATAATGTTTGTAGGATTATTAAATATGACATATAGCATCTATACACATGATTTCTAATAATAGGATGTTTTTCTTCTTTCTCCAAGGTATATAACATTCTTCTAATGATTTCAAGATCAGCAAACTTATTCTTAAAGCAGAGCTGATGTGGCCAAAACAGGGAATGAGGATTCCTGTTGCACCCTCTCCCTTTCCTGCCAAGGCTCTCCCACAGAATCCTCAGGTTTCAACTGAGCACAACTGGAAAATGACTGCATCTTGCCAGGCAGTGGGTGGTGGGTTTTTTTTTGTTGTTTTTCCAATGATTTCTAGTTCCTCTAGTTCTTCATAAATTATTTGTACAATGACTGGATGGATATAAATGTTCTTGTCCAGTTTCCTGATGAATATGTTAGGATGCCTGGCACTGGGTCCTTCTGATTTCTTTTACTTTGGTTTAAATTTCCTTTAACATATCCCCACTCTTTTATTTGTAGAGTGGAATAAATCTTTGAAGTTGAGGCGATTCTTTAATCCTTATCACAATACCCCATTGCAACAATCTTGAATAAAGTCTTCAATTTCAAAGAGGGTCAGAAAAGTTTCTTCTTTAACAGTACCTTACAGTTGTCTGCTCCACAAAATTCAAAGTTTATTATGACAACTGAAAAGTCAAAATCATTAAACAATACAAATAATTCAACTACTATACAATAAATAATCATTAAGATGAACCTCATCAATATGTCTGTTAAAACCAAGACTGTTCTACAATAGTGTTGTCACTTCACAGTTTGTTACCCTATAGTTTTGTGTTATCATTTGATGAAAGTCCAGCATCAAAAGTCCTCAAATGCTTTCACTCTGTTTTAAAATGAACTGCAAATTCCATGCTTTATCTTAGAAGTTTTACTGTCAAGCACACACATACAGAACAATGTCCTAAACAATACACACAATGTATCAAGAGCAGTGTTTATAACATGCCTTAAAGTTCTAAAGTGCCCTACATATTACCACCATGATTTTCCTCTTAGATAAAGAGGTATAAAAACATCAGACTGTTGAGATTTTACTTGTTGTCCTAGGAAACAATATAGCCAATTTCTGAGATGTACTTAATCTGAAAGCTTGGACTCGTGTGTGTGTGTGTGTGTGTGTGTGTGTGTGTGTGTGTGTGTGTGTGTGTTCATTTTTACCTACCAGTTTCTCCAGCTGTTTTATTCTTCCCATGGGGCTTATATAGAACATAAGAACATCCTTTTACATGGAAGTGGTCATTAATTTGTCTAAACCATCTGAAAATAAGAAAATGATTTACTCATAGCAATAGTTTCATAACAAGGAAGGGCACTGTTCTAATTGTACAGAAACCCAAGCACAGCCCACACATGGCATATCTAAGGGAGCCTGGGACCCAGTACTAAAGTATCTTTTACTGTCCACACACACTACAGCATTATCAGTTCATAAAATTAGAAATAAGTTGTTGTCCCTAAGGGGCAGCTCCGTACCTCATGAGTGTTGTATTTCCAGTGAAAGGGCCAAACCTAATATCTTCAAATGGGGGTTGGAAGCCCAAAATATGTAATGCATCTTCTTGGGTAATAGGTGGGAGACTACAAAAGAAATATTTCCTTTCATTTCATTGTTCCAGTCATACCAAATACAATCTGCCTCAGTGTTAATATACAGGTTTAGCTAGCAAAAAGTTTTAGCAATATTTTTCATTTTTTATTTTACTGAAAATACATGCAAATATTTTAAGATGAAAGGCTTATAGCAATATGTACATTTTTCTCAGTTTTTGAAAAATCTGCTCTGAGTCTTCCATTATAAAAAAAAACAAAAACTTAAATTATTTTTTTCTTCTTGAGGCAGGGTCTATGTAGCCCTAGCTATCCTGAAACTCACTGTGTAGACCATCCCAGACTCAAACTCACAGAGATTTGCCTGCCTCTGCCTCCCAAGTGCTGGGATTAAAGGCGTGTGCTACCACACTAGGTTTCCTTCAAACTACTTTCAAAGATGGAATTTGGTGATAGCAACAACCTGGCATACTTACTTTCCAGCTCCCATTGTGCTATATAAGAAATTCCAACAAGAAATTAATGAGGAGATACCACATGAAGTCTTGTATTGTGGCCGGCTTATGCAGTACCTAAGAAATTAAACAGTTTCTTCACTTGAATGAATACAAAACATGCAAAACAGAAGTATACATCTTATGAGTGATTTAAAATGTGATCATTTTAATTTAATGGCAATTTAAGGCAAATTTTAATGCAGTGTAAGATCATTATTTGTTTAAAATATTTCCTACTTATTAAACACAAGAATACATGACAGTAAAAATCATCTATTTTATCAAGAAGAACTACATTATGGCTAGCAACCTACTAAAGCACATCTTATTCAAACCAAGAAAGGAATTATTGTTATATAAATTCTGATACCAACTACTCAAATTTCTATGTGAATGCCCAGCTGGCATGGGTACAGGATCATTTGTAACTTCTGAAATACTGGAGAAAGAAAGCAAATCACTGTTCCATTGTGTCAAGAGGTTCACAGATTCTTCTACTCAGACCAAAGAACATTCCTTTATCACCCACTATGTCCACATGAACCCAAGGGCAGGGAGCCCCAGAGCAGAACTGTCACAGGATTTAAAAGGAAAACACAAAATCCCCCAGACCGAGACAGAGACTAATGGACCATGACAAGCAAGCACATATATGGGTAACTTTTAGAACATTCTAGAAAATGTTAATTTAGTCTGGAATTTATACGCAAAAGAAATATTGCTAATTTTATTAGGTGTGGCAGTAATTACTCCAAGCTAAAAAGCCATTTTTAGAAATGCATACTTAAATAATTGGATGTAAAATAAGGTATCAGTCACTTCCTTGAAAATTCTTCAACAAAGAACAACCAGGCAAACAACTATATCAAAATTTAAGTATCATCCAAAGTAGCTTACCATTAGGAGGATTCACAAAATGAGACTGATGGCCAGGTGAGTCTAGAAAATACTGGCCCAGCTCCATTAGTCTACTTCTAAAATCTGAGATATACTTAAAGTATTTAGATACAATCTTAGAACTAAAGGCATTCATAATGAATGCAAATTATTAACTTATACCTGGCAAAATAATGTCAAATTATATATTTTTAAGAATAGAAATAAAAACTGGCATGGCCACATACCATCGTCTGAGATCTAACACTTTTCGCTGTTTAACATCTTCAAGAGGAGAATGCTGGGGACACTCCCTCTGATGCCGCCCTTTTTTATCTGAAGTTTTTTTCTTAGAAATTTGTTTCTTTGTATTGCCTACAGTACAAAGGAATATAACAGGAAAATTCTCAGATGAATTAAACCACCACACCAGAAGGTACAACAGAATTAGAGAGAAACTGCTATGCATTCTGAAAATGGTATTTGCAAACATCTTGAAGTAATTCCTGTGCTTTCTAGAATAGTCCTCTTCACTAGAAAGAAAGCAAGAAGCAAATTAAAAATAATTTGAACCACCAGGAATGGTATTTCCTATCAAGATTGTATCCAAGTCCAGAGCTAGTGTCTTAGAGATGGTAATAACCAGGCCAAAAGTCTTTAGTCATATCTACAAGTTACTAACAGGAAAGAATTAAACTAGACCACTTTCCTGAAAATGAATTCTTTCTATAAAACAAGAAAACGCACATTAACATAATTCTATTAAGATACTGGATCTGCTGTGATGACATTCTGTCCAATGTGTTACATTATTAAAATGCACTAGTAACCAGAATGCAAAACATGGTGTCCTCTCTCTCTCTCTCTCTCTCTCTCTCTCTCTCTCTCTCTCTCACACACACACACACACACACACACACACACACACAATCTTCCCAAAGACATGAATGACTGCCTACTGGGGAGGGAGAGATATGGAAAATGGACAAAAGAGACAAAAGTGAGAAAGAGAGTTTACCTTGTTTAATTTTGACACATTTATTTATTTCAGAACCATGTTGATATTTTATCCACTCAAAACAGTATATATATTAAAATATTAATCATAACCAAGACTGATTTTGTTAAAATGTTAACATTCCTTTCAGCTATACTCAGATGCATTAATATCTTCCTGACATCACCTATTTTAAATAAAATAAATCTCATATGAAAATTAATTGAGGCCAATATTTTATTTTTGTGTTATCAAACAGATTATGTAGACATAATACATGTTTACAGACTCACAGCAGGAGATCTATTTCAGTACCATACACAATAACCATGTAGCTCCTATAACCAGCTGGGACTCAAGAAATACTGCCACACAAGGGATATCTGTAAACCATTATACAATGAACACTATATCAAAACACAATTTCCCCTCCTGTTTAATTATTCTTTCTGTGTCTTCACAGACACAGAATATACAAAATGTTTCCGAGCTTAACAACCACTTGCAAATGTGAACTAAATCTCACTGGGCCAGATTCTCTCATTGGTTAAAATGAATCTCAGAGAGAAGACAGAAAAGTGACTTTCCTTGGGACTCCCTCCTCTGCCTCTTGATGACTTAATTCCCTTGGTAATTTTGGCAGGCACTCAAACTTGTGAGGCTAATGAAACACCAAGTCTGTGACTCAATGAGTAAAGACTGCCCTGTCATTCTTTCCTCAATGGCTTCTGTGAGTCTGTCCCTGTGCTGCTTTTGGGGTGTGTGTGTGTGTGTGTGTGTGTGTGTGTGTTGTGAATCTTCAACGGGTAAATGAGCATACACATTGCAAGTAAGAGATCTCCATACCGCCACAAGGAGATTTGGTTCTAGAGCCAATGTTTCACTGAACTTGCAGAAAGAAAGCAATGTCAAAGTAGTAGCTAAAGCATAACATACAAAATGACCTTGATTCACTGCTCTGTACCATAATCCTATCCTTTCTTCCCAACCCTACACCCATATAGCCCTCTCCCACTACAATCAACTACCCTGGAATTTAGAGAAAAGTATGAAGAAAGAAAATAAATGAAAATCCAGAGCAGTGTGTAACTACACCCACCTGTAATCCCAGTACTCAAAAATATTGAAGCAGGAAGATTAAGAATTATAGGTCAGAGCCTGGAGAGCTGGTTCAACAGTTAAGAGCACTGGCTGCTCTTGAAGAGGACCTCGGTTCAGTCCCATGTGGTGGCTAACAACCATCTATAACTCTAATTCCAGGATTCACCATGCTCTTCTGGCCTCTGAAAGTATCAGGCACACGCATAGGGCACAGACATCATGCAGGCAAAACACCCATATACATCAAGTAAAAATAAAATAAATAAACTTAAATGAAAAGAATTACAGGCCAGGCTGGCATACAGAGCCAGACCACTCTCTCTCCAGGAAATGGAGAAGGGATGGGGACAGCAAAGGAAGGAAGATCCACCATTGTTTTCCTTACAGAAGCACAAGACAGAGCTCTGGGCAATCATCACCAAATGAGGCTGAAAGGAAGCTGAAAACAGGAAAGTTATCAAAGAAATAGAGGCCCAAATTCTGTGTATAAATGTAGACCAAACCTTGTCCTAAGACCTGGACCACCACATGCACAGAGTAAACCCCAAGCAAGACAGTCAGGGATAATGGCCCAGTCCAAGAACAGAACTGTGCTGTGGGATGGTCTGTATGTCAAATTGCTCTGATTTGTCAATAAATAAAACACTGATTGGCCAGTGGCCAGGCAGGAAGTAGGTGGGACAAGGAGAGAGGAGAATTCTGGGAAGTGGAAGGCTGAGGCAGAGAGACACTGCCAGCCGCCGCCATGACCAGCAGCATGTGAAGACGCTGGTAAGCCACCAGCCACGTGGCAAGGTATAGATTTATGAAAATGGATTAATTTAAGCTATAAGAACAGTTAACAAGAAGCCTGTCACGGCCATACAGTTTGTAAGCAATATAAGTCTCTGTGTTTACTTTGTTGGGTCTGAGCGGCTGTGGGAGTGGCAGGTGACAAAGATTTGTCCTGACTGTGAGCAAGGCAGGAAAACTAGCTACAGAACTGTCTTTAAAAGACAGAACTGGCAATTTCAGTTCAATCAGAAAGAGACAAAGAGACAGAGAGAGGCAGAAAGACAGAGAGTGACACAGAGAGAGATAAAAAAAAACAGACAGTGACACACACACAGATGGGAAGGGAGGGAAGAAAGGAGGGAGAAGGGAGAGAGGAGAGAGAGGTTGCTAGATTTGCTTGCTTGCTTGATGGGTAATATACCAGAGTTGATACAACAGGACATCCAGGACACAATCCAAAATGATATAGTGTGTGAGAAAACTAAGAAACAATTCGCTCTTAAGGAAAAGTTAAGTCGAACTTTGACCTAACCCAGATTTTGAAATCTGCAAAGAATTTGAAGTATGAACTGTACTAGATAATATAGATAAAATGCTCTAGTAATAAATGAAGATACCAAGGCCCTGCAAGTAAGAAACAGAAGCTGTAAATCAATGTAACTTCTAAATCTAAAAGTAAAGAATGGAAGAGGATGTACCAACAAATATCAATCAAAAGAAAGCTGGGACAATCAGGTCAATATCAAAGCAGTTTTCATAAAAGACAGTCCTGAAACACATGCCATATTATTAAAAGGAATATTTTTCTGGAAGGTCATGCCATGTGTCCTGGATTAGCCTGGAACTCACTATGTATCCCAAGCTATCTTCAAACTCACGATCCTTCTGCTTCAGCCTCCAGAGTGTTGGAATTACAAACAAGTGCCACCATGCCTGGCTAAAGAGGGTCAATTCTTGAAAAAAGCATAAAGATTACACATATGAGTTTTCCTAGTAACAGAACTTCAAATCACACTTTAAAAATCTCAACAGTGGAGAGTAGAGGACACCAAGAAGCTGTCTTTACCTAGGCAATAACTGCAATGACAGGTGCTATTATGGAACTCTGGAGACTTCTGGAAATGTGGCACATTTTAAGGAAAAGCCAGAAAAGAAACCACACTTAAATAATACACAGCAAGGCAACTAATACTCATTCCCCACTCCAGTGACCAGCAACTGTAAGTGTTGCTGGGTCACCTAGGGGTTCAGGTTGGGCAAAAGGGACCAGGAGTGAAGAATGAGTCATCACTAAAGGCCCTGCAAATTCTAGAGGGAAAGTACACTCTCAGGCTCCCAAATGGGACAACAAAATTATCAATAAGGCAATTCCATAATTACAGTTAGAAAGTTTTATATCCCACTACAAACTCACAGAAAACAGGAGAAAGCACTCCCCAGCTTGTTTCAAGACACCTGCATAACACTAATTATAAACCCTAAATCAAAATATTACAAAAAAAAGATATATTGTACATAAATACAGGCACCAACAAAGCATGTAAGTCCCCTGAGGATTACAGATTTACACAACAATCTCTGGAACAACTGATTTCAAAATGCACAAACAGAAGTAGAGGTTTTATAAAAACCATCAGAGTGACTAGAAACAAAATAAAAATCCTAGTTCCATATAGCTATGCAACTTTGGGCAGATTTATCCCATCTAAGCCTCAATTTCTTCACCTATACAATTTGAATAGCAGAACCTAGTTCATTTAATCCTGGCATTCCTGTTAACTCAAGGAAAGTGAAAAAGCATTAATATCTGAAGATCACTCCAGTGCAAGGGTGTACACGGCACCCTGAGTGATGCCATCCTCCTACACTGTTCATACACAGCCTATTCTGCGTAGATAGAGGACTTTCTGGGTGCTCAAATTTTACTGTTGTCATTTTTTATATAATTTTTTATTTTTTTTATGTGCATTGGTGTTTTGTCCCATCAATGTCTCTGTGAGGGTATCAGATCCCCTGGAATTGTAGTTACAGACAGTTGTGAGCTGCCATGTGGGTGCTGGGAGTTGAACCTAGGACCTCCGGAAAAGCAGCCAGTGCTCTTAATCTCTAAACCATCTCTTTAGCCCCTACTGTTGTCATTCTTTAAAGAAGATCCTAAAAGATGATGTTTGCTTTTATTCCTGGTGCTTTAGAATTTCTGTTCATATTTCAGTAATAGTAATGAATATGTATTTCCATATCTTATATAACCATTCTTATTTATACCTCTATCTGTATTACATACAATATATAATAGTATAAAATAGTAATATTTAATAGTATAATATAGAAATATACACTAAATCTTAGATACAGAATGTTTGATTATATATTTAATTCTTATGTAATCCTGCTAAAATTTTGGTATGACAAAGAATTCTATATTTATAGGTTCACTGTTATCTAACATTTAAAAGCAATTTGAATGCTTTATGGCCCTGTTCATATTATCAACCAATTTAAGACAAGTACTTCTTAAGTTTGGCTTCATAAAAATACATCAATACCAGGTCTGACTGAAGAAAGAACTTCCCTACCATCAGGAAGTTTTAGAGCTATCACTGAAAGGGAGGGAAGGAGATGTCAAACAGAATCTCCTTTTAACATTTGGAACAAGTAGTGAATGGAAAGAAATGTGAACAAGTCCTTAGAAACATACATACAGACATGTGAGAAATAAAATGGACTTTAAAATATGGTAGCTACAAAAAAAATTTCAAGACTTTGATAAAAACATATGTTCTTTTTACATTGAAAAATTTTCAAAACAGAAGTGTCTTAATATGTTAGAAAATATGAGCATGTTCCTGCAAAGCTACAAAATAACAGTATTAATTAGCCTTTTCTGAGCTATTATGTACTTATCTTTAATACTTACATTTTATAATGCTCCAAAAATGCACACATAATGTTGGAAGTTTCCATGGGCAACACATTCAGGGACTAACTATGCCCAGGGTTACTCAAAAAAAAGAAAAAAAAAAAACTGCAATGACAGACAGGATGGTTAGCGATGCTACTTGTTCAGCAACAAAAAAATATTTCACTGCAAGATTTAGAAATACTTGGCATTGTTTTCACTTGTGAACTTCATAGCTCTTTCTTACCTGATTTGTGTTTCAAATTTGTGGTCACCCCATCAAATTCAGATTTATCAATTTCCCATGCAAGAGGTAGCTTGCCCAGGCTGGTGGATAAGTTTTCCAAGCTATTTTCTTCATTATAGATTATTTCTGATGTACTAGTTGGGATACCAATGTATCTTGAACTATTTTCAGCAGAAATCGAGGTATTATCAGGGAGGCAAGAAGAGCGGGCTGGGTTGGGAGTTTTGTAGATTGAGGTTGCCTGGTTGAGGAAGGCATAATCTGAACATATGGCATAAATTTTTTCCCTAGTATGAGTCACTGGACAACTTGAAGGATAATGACCATCTCCTCTGGGGCCCACGACTGCTCCTGAGGCACTTGAGCAAAAAGATTGTACAGCACCTTGGAGATCCTCTTCTGGGGACTTGTTCTCAGATTTGTGCTCACCATGTCCAGAATCAGTGGATCTTCCAGCTTCTGCAACGTTAGGCATTGAAAGCAACAGCAGATATCTCTGTTCCTAGGAAGAAGTCACAACCCTCTCACTTTTGAAAAACTTTTTCTGAAAACTTTGGCAAATTTTCACAGCATTCTATAAAAGCTTCAGAATTGACAGATGGGATCCTAAGAAAAGACAGAAGGGAAAGATTGTTTGGCTATCCAGCAGGCATGATGAATGGCAATAAACTTTATAATGAGTATGTTTCATATACCTGCACTCAATGCAAATTGATTTTATGACCATACAGCCTGAGTTATGACTAACCATCTATCTTATATTAATGATTAGCTTAGGGGATGGGGAATACAGCTTAGTTGGTTAAGTGCTTGCCATGCAAAAATGAGGACCTGAGTTGGATTTTCAGCACCCACATTAAAAAATAAATAAATAAAAAGCTGGCTGACCCATAATGCCAGCTCTGGGTAAAAAGAGGCAGGAGTATCCCCAGGGTTTGCTGGCCAACAGTCTAACCAAATCAGTGAGGCTCTGGTACAGTGAGGGACCTTGTTTTAAAAAATAAGATAGAGTAATGTGGAACACAGTCAATGTTGACCTCTGACCTCCACACACATGTACACACATGCATGTGCACTTGCACACACACACACACACACACACACACACACACACACACACGAGCTTAAAGCAAAATATGAGAATGAAATACAAATAACCCAGTTACAAGGGGAAAGTCACATCTGTAAAGACATTACAGAAATGAACAATGAGTTCATGAAAAGAAGCTCATTATCATTAGTTGCTATGGAAACACAAATCAAAACCACAATGGTTTACCAACTCATACCCACCAAAATGGCTATAATAAAAAGACACAGGCAACAGTGAATGTTGGGAAGTGTGTGGAAAATCAGATCCCTCATATGCCACTATTAGAGATATAAAATGGTCTGATGAGCTTACCTAATAGTTATTCATACATTTCAACACTTACTGTGTAGTCTGAAAATTTCCCTCTCGATACAGATGGTAAACATTAAACCATGCCCCTGAATAGCAGCATTACTCATAATGACAAAAAGTGAAAACAACCCAAAGCCTCGTAATTGACTAATGGGTGAAGGTGGCACATCCATCTGGTGAAACACTACTTTGCAATAAAAAGAACTACTGGTCCTGATACAAGATAAATGGACTTTGGAAACATTATGCTAATGAAAAAGCCAGTCACAAAAGAACTGATCCCTCAAGAGTTAAATTTACACAAAACCTCCAGGAGCAGCAAGTCTACAAAGCAGAGTGTACCTTTAGCAGTTGCCTTGGGATGGAAGGTTCAGCATGATAAGCCTTTTCTTTGAAATAATGAAGATATCCATAACTAACACAAGAACATAGTAAAGGTCTAACTTGGAGAATATTCTAAAATGCCACTGAAGTGTACATTGTAGTTAGTGGATTGTATGGCATATGAATTAAATCTAAGTAATACTGTCTAAAGTAGTACACTGACCAGATGATAAAAAATGTATATAGGGATAAAACATACATGATGATAATGATCATGTCCAACAAATAAAATTTACAATTTAAAGTTACTCTCACTAACTTCTGATCATTCCCAAGGAAAACTGGGCTTCAAGTCTAATCTGATTCCTCTGAGGAAGAAAATAGTAAAGTTCAAATAGCCATTGAGGGCATTCAAAGAAGCTACAGCCTTACAAAGGAACAAGCCCCTAGTGAGGCACAGCATCATAGGAAATCAAAGGTAGGTGTCTTGTGGAGCAAGACAGGCTTTTCCAGGCTCCAGTGACCAAGCAGTGCATGAAAGATTAAATCCATCCATAGGGGTCATTGTGACTTTTTACTACTGAAATATCTTCTCATTTGCTTATGGTAAACACTAGAAATGAAAATAACCACAGATTATGATTTGCTCAATAGCCATCACACAAGTATTAAATGGTACAAGCCTGGCTGAGTCTCTAAGAAACAGATATGATGAAGAACAGAGGACCCTCCAGCATCTCCTGAATGAAAGGGGTAAAGGTCACGAACACCATTAATGGAATTTAAGGAAATACACTCCTAGGAAGGAGACTCCGTCTGTGCCAAGTAAGCTTCCCCTTCTATAAGACATGACTTCGCTTCACAACTTCAAGCAGGCTTTTTTCTCATTTGCAGTTAACAGTGGCTCACAGGACAGAGGTACATTATCACCAAAGTGGTACCTGCCATGGTTTCACTGAGAACACTTTTTAGTAAAGAAGTCTTAATGTGTCTACAGATAGTGTCTGAGCTTTCTCCTTTTTCTTCGTTTTGTGGTGTGATGGTGATAGTGCAAGAAGATGCAAAGGGAAGCATGATGCATGAGGTTTGCAGACAATGCTGGTTTTCTCTGATGATTGGATTTCTACAAGTTCTGATTTCCAACTTCCTAGCTGTGATTCTCATTGTTGGTTGTTTTCTTTACTTTTTTGCTTTTAGCTCTTTTGGGGGCCCACCACCCAGCTCCCAAATAAATCACACACAGAGGCTTATTCTTAATTATAAATGTCCAGCCTTAGCTTGGCTTGTTTCTTAACCAGCTTTTCTTAACTTTAAATTATCCCATCTACCTTTTGTCTCTGGGGCTTTTCCTTTTCTTACTTCTGTAAATCTTACTTTCACTGTTACTCCATGGCTGGCTGTGTAGCTGTGTGGCTGTGTGGCTGTGTGGATAGCCCCTAGCATCCTCCTCTCCTTGTTCTCTTGCTCCTTCTTCCTTTCCTCCCAGATTTCTCCTTCTATTTATTCTCTCTTCCTGCCAGCCCCACCTATCCTTTCTCCTACCTCACTATTGACCATTCAGCTCTTTATTAGACCCACAGGTGTTTTAGACAAGCAAAGTAATACAGCTTCATAGAATTAAACAATTGCAACATAAAAGAAGGCAACAAATCTTTGCATCATTGAACAAATGTTCCACAGCATAAACAAATGTAACACATCTTAAAATAATATTCTATACCACCTCATGTCCTTCTTTAAAAGCTGTGTGGTGGAGGGGCACAAATGTGTCTGTGGTTGGGTGAGGAAGAATAACAGATAACAGATGGTCAGCTGGGGCAGTGGACAGAGGTTACTGAGTCAGTGCATCACACACCCCCAGGCACTGCCCTTTGTAGATCAAAAACTGACACTTAACTCTACCCTGCCATCACTACCTTCCTCTAGGCAAATAAAATTTTGACTATGGGAACAGCAATATATATCACAGTTTGGTGATTTTATGCTCATTTGGAACCTACAGAAAGGAAAAAAAAAAGTGTGGGCAAAATTGAATGTGGTAGCCCATTTCTATAATCCCAGGACTCAAGAGGCAGAAACAAGAGGCTGCTTCAAGATTGAGTCTAGACTAAATTGCATAGCTAGTTCTAAGCCAGCCACACTGGGCAGGACCCTAGCTCAAATAACCAAAACTAAATAAACAAAATAGGCAAGGGAAACAGCCTCACTTAAGAATGAAAGATATGACTGAACTTGCTAGACCATGAAGGTGATTAAGAACACAGCACTCGATTAATAAAACATGTGGCCATCTGTTTTTGGTTTGTTTGCTTTAAGCAATAGTCACTGAACAAGAACAATCTCTTTGGTCTCATTCTATCTTAAAAAATAAATAAATAAATGCAATCTACCGGAAGATATATTTTACATAGGTTGTCCCTGAAAATGAAAAGTATTAATATTTCTTCCTTTGAACAACTGTTTTATGTGAATATCCCTGAAAATATGTATATTTATAGGTTTGGTGACACAAGTAAAATATATTGCAGAAAAAGTTATGAAGTATCAGAAGGTATTTCACAGAAAATGATAACAAAATGACCCAGAACCCATGCTAATGTTTTTATTTCCACACCATGACTGATCCACATCTGTGCCCCTCCGCAGTTAAACTCAGAAAGGCTTCTGCTTTGGTATCCTCAGGACTTTACTAAGAGCCTGCTTTATTAAAATGAAGAGAGCACAATTGCTGGAAACAAAACAATTACAGACATAGATCATTCTAATAAGCTGCAATCGTAGTCTCAGGAAAAATTGGGGTATGAAGGGCTGATTGTCCATCACTTAGCCTGCAGATGTCGAGATTTGTATCTCCTTCCATCTCTATGTTTATAAGTCCATGCCACCCACCCTTTGAGCTATCCTTTCTACCCTAACCCCTACATAGAGAGCAGATAATATAATCGGCTACACATATGTCTAATAGAACTTCCCTACCTAAAGCCTTCAGCTCTTGGAGCAAAAGGCTAACTCCTTAACTGGTCTGAAATCTATCTCTTTAGAGCCACCTTACCCCACATACCCTCCTCTGTCCTTCCACAGTACTTTTTGGTTTTCTGAAATCTGTCTTCTAGCCCCCACCCTCTTACTATTCATTCTCACCCACCTTCTAAAGGTATACTCAAATGCCACTTGGATGTTCCAACCAAGCCAGGTTTCCTGTTCATACAGTGGAACCTTTCTTTCCAGAACATGATTTTACTTGTGTGTGTGTGTGTGTGTGTGTGTGTGTGTGTGTGTGTGTGTGTGTACAAACGGCTGTCTCCTGAAAGTCTAGTTGTCCTGACAATTGTATCCCAGGGCCTAGCCTTTGTAGAAGCTTAGTCCAACAAATACTTTTTAGGTGCCTACATTGCACCAGACATTATTGTAATTGTTTCCCCCTCATTTTGATTAACATATTAAGACTTGGTAATGAGAACGATTGCAGGAATACAGTTCAATTCCTCAATTTATTCACAGTATCCCCCAAGCAGTAGCAACCCCAAACTTTCAGGACAGCACTAGAGAAATGATTTGTGAAAGTCATTGAAATGGACAGTTCTATCAAATAAACATACCTATTGCAAAGCCAATATTCATCCCCTGAGTTATATTCAAGTTATGTGCTTTTCGTGTCGACATGCCTAAGTATCACGTTCAGTAGAGAACTAGACATCTTATAAAATCTCAATAAAGCTGTCCACATGTCACAAACAGTATAATCAATATTCTGTATAGAAAACAACTGAGACGCAGAACAGAACAGTTTTGCTGAGGACTGTTGAGAACGCAAAGACACCAGCTTGGTCCACCTTCTCCATCATCATCCTGCGCACAATTTCCTGTCTCCTCGACCATCAGACCAGAATCCGCTCCGGATGGCCTACCTGCGGGTACCAGATTCCTGCAGCGAACGGTGCCCCCTTGGAACCCAGGTTCTGGGAAGCCAGGAGACTTCACACCGCCCCCCTTTGAGGCTCCGAGGCAACCTGAAGGTGACAGCAGTGCTGGCGGAGCAGACCCGGGAGCACCAGGGCGTTAGGAGTGCAAGTGCAGCAGCGGGGCTGTGCCGGGTTCCTACTCCCCGCTCACAGTGGCCAACCGAGAGCCCAGTGTCCCCAGTCCCCCTGGCCGAGGCTAGCTAAAGCCTACTAGGCTCCTCCCGGCCTGCTCCCTCACACCCAGCCGGAAGACAAGGTTCACCAGGAGGGGGAGCGCGCGCAGGCCTGTAGGGTGCCGCTTCCAACCTGCAGCGGACTGGAGGGGCGGGTAGCAAGCGGGCAGTGACAACCCTGGAGCTGGTAGGGGAGGCCGCGATGGGTAAGCTGATATCACCAATAATTACAATGGCGGAAAAATAAATAAATAATCCCCAAGTCTTGGCTCGCAACCAGGCCGGCTTTAGCTCACGATCAACCGGGGGGCGGGGGGGTGTTCTGAGTTTTCCACGCCCCTTGCCCGGTGGAGTAAAGGACCCAGCCTGAGACTTCTCTTGCTCTCTGGACCAGATGCGGGTGTGCATAGAGGATGCCCACTGCAGACCTGGTGCCCGAGACCCGTTAGCTCAGCGTGGAAACCCGCTCCTGGAGAGGGTAAACCAGTACCCACGAATGCACTACCCACGGGTGCACCCCGAAGCCGAGCTTTGTTTCGGTGATTTCTATCCCCTGAACCTCTCCCTCCCAAGAGACCCAGCTCAACCCTGATCCTTCCAGGAAGGGCCGGCATCGAGGCAATGGCGGCGCTGCGCAGAGGCGGAGCGCATGGCTGACCAGTCCCTGGGCCCGGCCCACCACTGGGGAATACCTCTGTTTTCGTTGGGTCGCGGAACTCCGGTGCTGGAAGGCAAAAACAGATCTGCATCCTCGAGCCTCCTACCCTAGGCCCGGAGTCTTTCGTGCCATTCCAGCGCACAGGGACAGCGCCAGGACCTTGGAGCCGGGTGGTTGAATATCATTGACAACACCTGCCTTCCTTTCATCGTTTAATCTATAACTGCCATTTGTAGGTGCGGTGGATACCGTGGACAAAATTTTTGTTGGGAAATCTTAGCTGTAACTCCAGACATGCCAGTCCCCTGTTGCGCAACTGTAGTATTTAAGGTTTCCCCGAAAGATGGGATCCAAAATTTTAAAGGGGGCGGGGGAGGGGTACCCTGGCAGGATTTCCGCTAGTCTTATGGTGGACTACATATCCCAGGAAGCCGAGGGCCTGGGACGCGTGTCCACTTTGACCCATTCATCCACTAGCAGAAGACCTTACTAAGCCGGACCACCGCGCAGTCCAATCCTTCGCCTCCCACCTTGGCTGGAACCTGCGACGGATTCGTTCCCAAAATAATGATGCTTTAGTGGCAGGAGTAACACAAGTTTGTCATTGTCCAGAGAAAGAAGATCCTGCGTACGGTTCTTACCCGGTTCAGCAGAACGAGTGGCGTCCCGCTGGACATGCCAGCCCTCGGGTTGTGACATTCTCTGACACAGTGGAGACCAGCGGTCCGACCCCCCCGCACATCAAGCGACACTTTAGGGACCTGCTGCTTTTTTGGCTGCTGCTGCTGCTAGGACTGGCCGCGGTGCCCCTACCTACCCAGGCTAGCTCCTTCCACTTATCACGTTTGCATTTATCCGTGGATCTTCTGAGAGTCAGTCTTGTAAATGTTCAGCATTTCGCTGCTTTCCTGCCTTTTTCTGGGGACTGTGCCAGCACTTGCCCAGACCGGCGGAGAGAGGAAGCTGAGCCCAGAAAAGAGCGAAATATGGGGGCCTGGGCTAAAAGCAGACGTGGTCCTTCCAGCCCGCTATTTCTACATTCAGGCAGTGGATACCTCAGGAGAACAGTAAGTGAAGAAATGACTCCTCAACTGTTTGGAATCGCGGTTTAAAATTACTGGGGGTTTGTTGTTGTTTGTTTTATTTTTGTCCTTCATTTTTATCTGTCCCAACTCTTCTTTTCTCCAAACAGTTTACATTCCAGACTATTTTAGTATAACAGACTTCCCCTTCAAAATCAATTTTTCTCTGTAACTTGGAATAATTTTGAAATATGTATTCAATATAGTATAAAAATGTTGCTATAATGACAGCTCTTTTCATAGTTGTTTAGATGGGAATCGAGGCTAAACAGATCTCGCTTTTTGTTGTTGTTGTTGTTGTTGTTTGTTTCGTTTTTGGTTTTTCGAGACAGGGTTTCTCTGCCTAGCTTTGGAGCTTGTCCTGGAACTCATTTTGTAGACCAGGCTGGCCTCGAACTCACAGATCCACCTACCTCTGCCTCCCGAGTGCTGGGATTAAAGGCATATGCCACCACCGCCGGGATCTATCGCCCTTATTTTTAAGTGCTTTCCCACAAGCTGTTTTAAGAAAAATAGTACAACTGTGGAAACTAAGTACTAAAAGCTAAACACATCCCAAATGCAGGACTATTTAGTCCTTGTGTTACTAATATGATAGACAGTTATTTTGATTTTTCCCTTAACTAAACATAATTGGAATACTAGTATTTTATTAGACTTCCATTAGTAGTATTTTAATTACGTGAATGTGGGTAGCGGTATATACCCACACGAGTCCAGGGGCTACAGAAAGCCCGAGAGGCCATGGATCTCCTTGAGCTGGAACTGCCTGTAGCTGTGAGCCTTGAGGACCATGGGACCTAAGGTAAGTCTTTTATATGACACTAAGTGCTCTTAACCATTGTTATCTCTCTAGACCCAAGAATACTGATTTTTTTTTTTGAGTCATTAAGAGCAATTCTTCAAAATAAGGTCATCTTGAAGTAACCATTTAACAAAAGACAAATTGCCAGATGTGCTGAGCAGGCTGATAGAACTATTGTTCTTTATTTGCTTGATAAATAGCTTGGTAGTCTTAATGTATCCCCTGGCAACTGTCTAATGGAAGTATTTTATATTATTATTTTATTTTTATCTTTGATCCATCATATTGGTTCTGGTACTAAAAGCCTAAGAGATAAGCAAGCAAGTATATCTTAGAAGGATACTCAACCTTTACAGATTGAAGAGAGTAGTGTGCATTTGCTCTTAAAATAACCCTCATATCTCGTCTATCTTCCCATCACAGGTTCACATCTTCTCCAGGTGAAACGGTGTTCCAGGTTAAAATCTCAGCACCTGATGAGCAATTCACTAGAGTTGGTGTCCAGGTTTTAGATCGAAAAGATGGGTCCTTCATAGTGAGATACAGAATGTACGCAAGCTACCAAAGTCTGAAGATAGAGGTTAAACACAACGGACAACATGTGGCTAAGTCTCCTTACATTTTAAGAGGTATTTTGAAACAAAATTTTATGATAAGATTTAAATACAAAAATATATGTCATTCCATCAGTAAGAATTCCTTCAAAAAACTTAGCATACTTTTTTCACTGAAAGAAAAAACTAGATGTTTCTTTAATTGAAAGCTAAATTAGGAGGCCCAGCAAAAGAGAGACATTAATTATAATTCACTAAAGATCAAGAAACATTTCTAGAGAAGTTGCTCCCTACAGACGCATCAGTGAGAATAATCAAGTTAAAAAGCTGGAGGGATGGCTCAGCATTGAGGATCACATGCTGCTCTTGCAAAGGACCAGAGTTTGGGTCCCAGCACCCATGTATGGTGGCTCATAGCCACCTGGAACTCCAACTTAAGGGAAGATGTCTGTCCAGAGGCACCTACATTTTACATGTGCATAATACATGATTTATAATAATAAGTATTTTGCCATTTGAGAGGTTTTTAATGTATAATTTACGACAAGGTTTTATAAATCTTTTGAAACACAGCTTACAATAAGAGATAGCATACATTTATGTATATAAATTAAAATTGATATATGTATATGAACATATGAAATTAAAGCAAAGTCTCAGAAAACCGCACTTACCATTGTAACCATTCCCTCTTCTATGCTGTACTACTTTAGATTTTTTACTTATTTTGTGTGCATGTGTGTGCAAATCTTAGCTATAAAAAAGAATTATCAGGGCTGAAGAGATGATTCAGTGGTTAAGAACACTAGCTGCTTTTCCAAAGGACCTGGGTTTTTTTTCCCAGCATACACAATGGCAGCTCATGACTGTAACTCCAGGTGCAAGGGTGTGATACACTTTTCTCACCTCCAAAGGCACTGCAGGATGTACATGCAAACAAAACACCTGTACATATAAAAATAACAGAAAAATAAATAAATAAAAAAGAATAATCAAGTTAGATATATAGTCATAGATAATTCTTGAATGAATGAATTAAGTAACTAATAATCATCATTAAAATTGCCAGGTGTGGTGGCACACCTTTAATACTAGTGCTCTGAGGAATGAAGAGACAAGTGACCTCTATGAGTTTGAGGCCAGCCAGGTGGCTTGAAGCAGAAAAAGGGATGGATCATTGGTTTGGTTGTCATGCCGGGCCACCATTATAGAGACATTCTCTGCTGCTTTCTCTCATAGGATCAGAAGAAAACTTTTTCACTTTCCCTTTCTGGGGGAGACCAAAGATCTTTTTTAACTGTCTAAATTCTTCTCTTACATTCTACTGGGACTCTGGTAGAGTCCAACCTGCAAAGCATTAAAATGTGTATGAATTCCATTGTCACCTGTTGACTAGATCAGGTCAGAAGCTGAGGATTTCAGAAAGGAATAACATAGTGCTGTTTCAGATTCTTATGTTAGCATTATTTTATTAATGTATAATTAATTCATTGTGATATTAATGAGACCATATGTTTTTAGGATTTTTACTTCTTTATATTTCTTTTAAAAAAGAAGGGGGGAGGGAGAGTAGGAGTCCTTTGTTTACTTCTGTTGCTACTGGCAATGGTTTACCCATTGAGAACAGTACTTTGGATACTCTTAAGAACCTGTTTGTATAATAAACCAGTAAAACTGTAATTCATTTCACTTTTATCCTTCAGAACACAGATTCCTCATTCTTTTGCCAATATTTGGTTATTCTTTTTTTAAAAAAATTATTTTATTTATATATGTATGTGTGTCTCTAATGGGGGTATGTTCACACATGTGCAGATATCACAGAGGCCAGAGTGGTATCGGTTCCTCTAGGCCCAAAGTTATAGGTGGTTGTGGGTCCTAAGAACCTAACGCAAGTCCTCTGCCAGAGCAG